TCTAAGGTCTGCCAGGTGGCTAGAAATGTTCTCCTGTTCATTGTGCATCTAACCATGTATGTGTCGATGGAATTCAAGCAGGGGCCGATTTCATCTAGGAATCGCCCCCGTCCTTTGTTTATAATAAAAAGCAATAACTTTATTTGCTCATACTACACTGTAAACAAACAAGTACACTGAGGCACTTTTTTGGGCGATGAATGGGCGCGTCTGCTACCCACTGTGGGATGCGACTTCTCAATTTTTGCGCTGACAGTGACTTCAAAAAGTGCCTCACTATGGGTCATTTCCATTCATCGCGCAACAAACTGTCCTGGGACACTTGTTTTTTTTTACAATGTAGATGTATCCAGGTTATAAATGAGCAAAAAACAAAGTGATAGTATATGTTTTCTATCTTGGAATAGTTTTCTTTTTATCTTAGAACATACATTTTCTTTCGTCCACTTTGACTTACATACGCACTTACTATAACTTATCACTTTGATTCATGAGCTTTATATTAGAACGAAAGAAAAATGCAATCTGCTTGTCGAGTCTATTTAGCATTTTATTGCTTATCTGGCGTAACACTAATCTATTATGGTATAAAAACATATTGGGACATCAATGATGATATTTCATCATTAAATGGAAATCAGATTATAGAGTCATATTCAAAAACTGTAATGGGTAAGTTATTGAAACGGCTAATAATAATGGAAATAATAGAAGAAAAAATGTTTTTTGTGCACGGTTTGCTATTTTCCGTGTACTAAAAAAATCTTTTGACATTTTTGTGCAGGGTTTACAGAAAGATGCACGGCAACGAAGATAGAAATGTGCACGGAGACGTTTTTGTGCACGGTTTTTCAAGGAGTAAAAAATATTTTTGTTTTACATACAAGTAACCTAAACAAATAAGATGATCTACGAACAGACATCTATTCACAACAGAGATATATTGACTGAAATGTATGATAAATCTTAAAAATTGGTGTAGAGTGAAGTTCATCTTTTTAAGAATTAATTCAACCCACACAGTCTCTCAATACACTCGAAATATTTTTTCTTCCCAATCAGTCATCTATATGTTTTGAAAATTTGTTTGAAAGCGGTTTTAGCTTCAAAATATCGCGCGAAACTCTGTTTACGAAAAATTTAGCCACAGAAATTCTTTTGAAAAAAATAGTGCAAGAATCGCGTTTGACATAATCACAGGTTGCGTTAAACGCCCTAAATTTTTCGTAAACAGAGTGTCGCGCGATACTTTAAAGCTAAGCTCGCGTTTTTTCGTGCTTTTTTTAGAAAATTCGGTTTTTCGCGGTTCTTGAAACCAATCTCGCGCTTGTCGCGCTGCATTGCGTTAAAAACGTAATTTTCACGCATTATTTGTTATAGAAATGCCCAATTTTGCGACTTTAGTCTACGAAACGTGTTTTTAAAAAGTTATAATGGCCATAAACGCGTTTCTCGCGAATAATTGATGGCAAAAACGCGGTTTTGATATATTCTCGCGCTCTATGAATGCTAAAACCGCGTCAAAACGAATTTTCAAAACATATAGGTGACCGACTGGGTTTAAACAAAAATCATGACAAGAAAAGTTTGGACTTTTGGTAATAAATATTTACAAAAAGATGATTTGGATATTTATTTGAATTATAACAAAGTTTCAAAATTTCGAACGGAAAATGTGAAAGATGGCATTAAAGTTACATATCGTTGTTCATCATGTACAAAGTATCCAGAATGTAGCTTGCAAGTTCATGTATTATTTAATTCTCAAAATCAAATAATTTAACAATCAAATAAAAGGGTATAGATTAACCTCGTTCTTCAAAAACCGTGCACAAAAACATCTTTATGCACATTTCTGCCTTTTCTCATGCACCTTACCGTAACCGTGCACAAAAATGTCAAAAGATTTTTTAGTGCACGAAAAACAGCAAACCATGCATAATTCTGGAAAAGAACCGTGCACAGAAAAATCCTCGTCCAATAATGGACGACAAAAATAAAACTGTTAAAAGTATCATGTTTGGTTAAATATTATAGAAATTTCATCTCGATTTTGATTAGAAATTGATCTCAAGTGTTTCTCGTTTTCTCTCAGTCAAAACAGTTATGTCTGTAGATATTATTATTTGAGTTGAATATTAACAATATACGGTCATCTCTCCGATTTGTCAAAAATAAAAGAGTTTCAATGGGAACACAACCATTTTAGTGACTTGGATTACTGACTAATTTCAAAATTTTCTTAACAGATATTTCTAATTAGAATTATCGATTAATAACAAAGTCACAGTAGATTATTCTTATTTCTTTAGTTCTTGGCTGTCTCACATTAAGTCTGTACGTTATTGGTAAAGTGGGTATTAAACATAGCGATTTTTTTTTGAATTTTTTCTTGGTATTATTAGTATTTGTTACTATACTACAATGTCTCGTATTTTACTCTATTCGAAAATCGCATGATGATTTTGATGATATTTTGAGAATAAAACTAAAAAAATGCATTAAAAGTATTAACAATAGTTTATGTCGAGAAGAATTAGATTTGATCCAAGTTCGTCTAAGATGTTGTGGTATCGATTCACCATTAGACTGGACTAAACACCGTCGTGAACAAAAACAAGATCCAATACCGGCATCCTGTTATACAAAAGGCGAAAGAACATGTTATCCATATCTGACCGGATGTCATCCTTATTTATATGAACAATTTTCAACAAAATTTATTCAATTACATTTTGCCACGAGCTGCGCAGTGATATGTGGACTAACAGGACTTTTTGTATTGTGACTTCTCCGACTCTCTTACTTCACATTTTTTATATCTTGCCCTATGGTATTCAGAGCAGAAAATGTTAATAGAAAGATATGGATTAGCACTAATAATTTTCTGAAAATAAATAAACTCATTTTTAGCGTATATCACATTGATATATACAATCAATATAAATTATCATCAAGAGTTGATTTGAAATAAAATGCACATACTCATCCCAGGAATAATGAAAACATTGACAAGAAAACGCATTAAAGGTTTTAAAATGAATGTTTATTATTATTATTATTATATTATTATTGCGTTTCGCTCTCTTCGAGCTGTTGAGGCTGTTTGAGAGCATACATATTAGCCATTATTTGCTTCCATTTCTTTCTTAGCTTCGCGATCGTTTCAAGCTTCTTTAGATCTTCAACTGACTTGAGTTGTTGCGGTAATTCGAGTTGAGTTGCTGGGTCAGTAAGCTGTTCTTCGATGAGTTTTAGATCTTGGTCTATAAGAATCGGCAGTGTTGTTCTTGGTCTGCCTCTGAAGCCACTTGATGTACTGTTGTTGAAATATTGAAGCATCGAGAATTTCGCAGGTGTTTTGTTCGTCATTCTCAGGACGTGTCCGAGCATTCGCCATCGAGCCTCGCGTATTTTTGGTTCGAGATTTTTGGTTTATATACTTGCAACGTTTTAGACTATATAAACCGTATTTATATCGAAAAAATCAGCAATTATATGTTAGATATGTTTGCACAAGACGCATACATTCATGCGCTACTACTTATAAAGATACAATATAAGGACATATCCTTTCACTTATCAATGATTATAATCATTGATACGTGAAGCACGAGCAATGATCTAATAACTACTGGCTTGAGCAATACTATTGAACTGAAGGTCACTTAGGCTGCTTCATGATTGAGACCATGTTTTTTCGATGATTATTAATTAGATTTAAAAAGTGGTCTCAATTTGGAAATGAAAATTTTATAGTAGAAAAAGCGGTCTCAATTTGGAATGCATATATTCTCTCGTTTCTTATACAAATATAAAATGTGGTCTCAATTTGGAATACACTGTAAAGTCGGGAATTATTTATTAGAAAATGCTCGGTGATTTTCAAAAAGTCGATATATGAAATCCTCACGGATTTTCCAGATTATAGAAAATCAAATTTCCAACAATGTAGAAAATCGACATCAATTTTGTGTTGAGAATTATTTATAGAAAATCCAGCTCGATTTTCTACATTATTGGGAATTATTTATAGAAAATCCTCAGCAAATTTCCTTCTAGAAAATCCTCACGGATTTTGTATATGGACTTTTCGAAAATCAAAAAGTCTGGTTATTTTCTACTTTCTAGAAAATCGTCAGCAATTTGGTAAATGATAAGGGAGAACAATTTGAGTGAGGATAATCAGAGACTTTCGTTTCAATATCAGAGATCGTTTAATAATGAAAACCAAATTCGACATCGCTCACGTGCTGAATGACTGTTATTTTATTTAAAAAATAATGAAATAAATGTGAATTGTTAGGATCATGTCTTTAAGCTAATAGAATCAACTACATTTTTGGAAGATGCTAAATTCAGACATAAAAATGAGGAATATTAGCAAGAGCGAATCGCTTTGCGGTCTTCAGAAAGTTGCGGTGGAACTCGACTTGTCTCAACCAGGCAACCAAAGAACTTTTTCAGTACCTCTTTGTGATCTCCAAGTCCAACAACAATACTTCTCGAAGAATATGCTGATTTGCAAAAACTGAGAGAACTTTCCGAATCTACTAACATTTCCGATGTTAAATACTAAAAGGAGCGGAGATCTGTTACAAGACAACTTGTTGCAATGTAGGCTTTAATAAATGTGAAAGAAGCAAGAAAAAATCGCCGATTTCGTCGTCTTAGAAAATCGAATTCAATTTTCCAACTATTTAGAAAATCGTTGTCGAATTTCAAAAATGTTGAAAATTATTTATAGAAAATCAATCGATTTTCCAACTTTTTAGAAATTCCTTATCGATTTTCTGGCGAATGAAAAAAGTGAATTCATAGAAAATCGAGCGGATTTTTTTATAAAGTAGAAAATCAAAATTTCTAAACAGTCAGAAAATCGTTGAGAATTTTATAAAAGTTAGAAAATCCATTGAAATAATTCTACCAGTTATGATATCATCGTTTATTGTTATCGAACACGAATAAGAATTACGAGTATAGACCAATTTTTTTCAGTTTCGTTTTTATTTGAGAGCTTTAAACGGAATATAACCATCAAGATTTTTTTCAGTTTTGATACGAGAAAAATGTAGAGTTGTAGACATAATAGGATTCATTGAGGAAATCGAATTCAGATCTTGTTAAAGTAGCTTGAAGTAGTTAAAGTAGGTTAAAGTAGCGTAAAGTAGCCTAAAGTAGCTTAGAGTAGTTGAAAGTAGCTCAAAGTAGCCAACTTAGCTTCAAGTACAAAAGTATGCTGTTTCCCCCTCGCTCGATCCACTAATCTTGTTCTCAGCTCAATTTAGTTTTAAGCATCAGTTTTGAAAAATATTTCAATCAGTTTCTGTCTACAGTAACCAATCATTTCCAATTACAGAGTGATTGGAAATTATAAACAGTGTATAAAGTATGTGAAATGAACAAACTCGCTATCCCAAATTGAGATACATTTTATATTTGTATAAGAAACGAGAGAATATATGCATTCCAAATTGAGACCGCTTTTTCTACTATAAAATTTTCATTTCCAAATTGAGACTACTTTTTAAATCTAATTAATAATCATCAAAATAAATTGGTCTCAATCATGAAGCAACCGTTGTTAAATTATAGTCATTTCAAACAATAGCTGGCGAAACGCAGATGCAGAGTTTTAAAATTTCAATCGATATGAATTATGTAGTAAACAATAATTTATCACATAGACATATTTGACTGTCGAAAGTTTATTAAGTTTTTTGCACAATGATAACTGGGGATTGACGGTTTTCTGTCTTCAGAGGGAACTACTGATCGAAGAGATATTTCGTTTCGCAAACTGAATAAGATTTGAAATTGAATACGTAAATAAGTAATTCATTTGCAGTGAAGATTTTTTTATAAAATGTGCACATCCTAGTGAAACTTCTGGTCAGGATCTTGACAAGAAAACGTAACAAATTCAAGAAATTTTAAGAGCCTAAGATCTTGATAATTCTTGAGTCATCATTTTGTTTTACAATGTTATTTATATCTAACTTCGAAATATTTCCTTTCTGTAGCAAAGTCGTTCAAGGATGAGCTTCTATGACCACATATGATTGTCTAATAGTTGTCACATATAAGAAAGAAAATATAAAAATTTTCATCACAATACTTTGAAACATCTTGACTCGATTCACTCAAGACCTTGACAGTTCTGTTCTCAAGATTTTGCATACAAGAGATTCCATTAGGATACTTCATTTACAAGGTAAAAGTGCAATTAAAGAACAAAAAGAAATTCTTAGACCAATTTAGCTCATACAAACCGGATCCTATTGACGAGAATCGCTCATATAAATCAAGGCTAAATTAAACACCAATCAAACGTGATGTTCATCAATTCGTATGTATGATTTGACTTTTTTATATTTTCAAGATTCTTGGCCGATAAATCAAGAAATTAGCGAGTATCGCTGTAGTTTAAAATGCTAAGAATTTACTTTTATAAAAGTGCATAATATTTTTTTACACGGTCTTTCACATTTCTAATATTCCATAGATGTCGTATAATTATGATAATCTCAAATTATTCTATCTGTTAATGCAATACTATTGAACAGTAGGAGATATAGATACGGCAGATAAGATGAAGTCATGCTAGAAAAACAATTAAAATCGCACACAAAAGAAGTCAAAGGAAAACACGTAGTTGCAACGTTAGCTAGTTGATACGAAAACAATATAAAAAGAAGTATGACTTCTATCTGACAGCTGCTGAACTCTTGTATAACAAAGACGTAAATGTTAACGCCAAAATGGACTTGTCAATTGTTGTCCGATCCTTCCAGTAGTTGCGTGCATCGTTGGTATATGTTGAAGTGGTTGTTGCCAGGGGATCGGTGTTTGTCCCCACATCGTTGGTCTCGACATTAGTGAAGCGGTTGTAAGTGTTTGCGCTGGAAATGTCGAACGAGGTAGAAACGCAGGTGTATAGGGTCTCATCGGATTATGTTGAAGAAATTGAGAATTAGGTAGAGGTTGAACATACTGTTGTTGTGGTGCTTGCTGTTGAGGACGACGACGTTTTTTAACTTTGATATAACCTGTCGGATTTGTTATTGGCTCGTCACCGTATAACGATTTATAGTCTCTGATTGGAGCGTGATCGTGTTGTTGTTTGTTTACTTTGACTGCTCGTTTTTTCCCGTATTTATCTTCGAAATAACCGCTGATCACTTCATAGTCAACGATGTCAATGAGGTCACTTCTCAGCGTCTGTCTTCTCGGTTCAATATCTCGATCGTCCAGTTGGAGTGATTTTCTCAAATGTTCGTCGATACGAGCGATATGTTGAATGTCGGATGGAACAGGCGTGGGTGACTCCTTTCCTCGCGTTCGAAACGATGGTTGAGAGTAAGGACGTAGTTGCAGTTGTTGACCATCTGGTGGTTTCGTTGAATAAGCTTGTTGAGGAACGGTTGTCATTGATGGCTGTTCTTTCTTTGTCTCATCGTGGATCCAGCGAATAAAAACGTCTTTACCTGAATTGACATCTTTTATCTTCTCAACTTTGACGAGATTCGGAGCAGGTGCATAAGGATCGACAATTGGAGGAGCGTTTGTGGGCAGTGTAATCGTAGCAGCTGTACTTGTTTCAGAATGTGGTTGGTGCAGTAAAGCTGTTGGTGTTCTGCCTCTCGGTGTTGGCGGAATCGAAGCTAAATGTCGTCGGCGATGTTTCTTTCTATGATGATGACGTGCTCGACGATGATAACAAGAACTACACGATGAAGATGAACTCGATGATCGCGAACGAGAGGAAGAGCATGTCGAGCATTTTGACGATATGTCTTGATCGAGATCGTGTTTATGATGTTCCCATAGTTGCCATGAATCAATTGGGACACGATCAGTTTTATAAAAGAAACCAGGTCCTTCCGTGTTTGTCTGATAGTCTAACGTACGTTCACGATCGGGTGAAGGAACGATACGAATTTCACTGTCGATTTCTTTGTTTTTCGATCCATAGTCATCAACCTAAGAAGACAAAAGAAAGAAAAATACAGTTCTAACACTATACTAATATGAATGACGGTAGCGAATGTGCTTAGTTTTTTGTTCTATCATCAACAAAAAGAAACTGCGTTCAATGTTGCAATGGTTTCATGATTCACTTATGGCTTTTGCAGTAGTGTTATATGAGAACATTACAAAGTCGATTAAAATTCACATAAAATTGTAAAATAAACTCAAAATCAATACTTAAGGCTTAATCTTCATCGCTATCTTTTCAATAATGTAAGTTAATATTTTGCTTGGCTAGCAATTGAGACCAGAACTAATAAGTAAAGACTCAGAGAATGAACTATTTTTTGTGCAAAGATTCAAAAAATGTTCATTAAGGTAAGAACTTCATGTGATTTTTTTTGTTGAGTAGTTAAAATCAGTATACACTACGTTAGATATAAATAATATAACAAATACAAATTAGTGCATTTAGTAACTTTTTCTACTATAAGCACAGATCGAGGGTTGTGTATCATCCCAATAGTTAGCAAATCTTCACAAAAGTTCTATTGTGTTAAAGAAAAATTGTTATACAAAGAATTCTGTTGGTCTTGTACATACTTTGAAATAGAGTGGTACTTTTGAGCAATCCTGTTGGGTACTAGTTGCCTGATATGCACTAAAACACGCTTGTACTAAAGCCAGCGCAGCTTGTCTTGTCTTTGTCACGAAACAATGACATTCATCGACAGGTAAATGTCTTGTTCGACGGAATATTGAACAATATAATGGTGGATTTTGAGTGTTTTCTACGCGAGCAGCCGCTGGTGAATCTAATGGAACAAAACGCCAACCACTAGGAAATTGTGCACCAGTTTGAGTTCTAGTGGCAAAACGAATTGATGCACAATACACAAGTGAACGAATTGGATAAAAGAGAACTACAGACGGATCACAAGCAAATTGTAGTTGAAGACCATTTTCATACACGGATAACCAAGCTTCAATACCTAAAAGTAAAGTATGAAAGTTTGACATTCTAGAATAGTGGAAGAATATGTATCAAAATCAACTGTCCTAGCTTTCCTTTTTGATTATACAAGTACATCTTGATAAACAAGCGAAGTATTTTCTTTGAAGGTAAACAAGCTACGTTTTTATCGTTACTATGTATTTTAATCTTAACTTAGATATTATTCAAACAGTACTTGTAACTTTTTTCCAGTTGTTGTTCTTACCTCTAACGGTATCTGTTCCATCAACGGGATATCTTCTTGACAGCGGTTCTTGCACAGCGTCGATCCCTCGTTGACCAGGCGATGATAAAGCTGTACCCAAATAAAGAACGCTACATTTTGCTAATGGTTGACTTGAATCTATATGCGCCTGAGGTTGTTCCAAATATTGTAGTGACTGTTGATCATCTTCATAGATAATTTGTTGCAATTGTTGCTGGTGTTGTTGATCGATATTAGTAGTATACTCGGGCGAATAAATCATTTTTCTGTTCCATTAGCAGGTAAAAGTAAATGAAAACATGTTAGTAAAACAGAGAAGAGAAAAGAAAGTAAATGAATGAATGTAGACATAGTATGTGTGTTCAATGAACCGTATCGTCGCCGTCAATATTGAATCGGTCATTGTCTGTCTACACCATTTGTTCGCTATAGATATTAACGTAAAAATTCTCTCTCAGTGAATCGCTCCTTGACATTGATACATGTAAAATTGATCATCATTATTTTACCGTCAGCAATCATCTTTTTTATCGACATTATATGCACCTGAGTCTAATGAAATCAATAACGATACGATCGATTAGAAATGTATGTACATGAGAGGAAGAGAGAACGAACATTGATTATATAAAAGATAAGAAAACAATAGCATTAAGAGGGGCTGATAATTTGTCATTGTTACTCACACCCATATCTTTACATTATGATTAGATCGTGAGATCGTGTTTCAAGCTCAATAGAGCATGATGTCAGCAAGAAACATAAAAACAATAGGCTAAGCTCAATCAGTCCAGCTAATGTGTTCAGATCCACTTTTCAATAAGAAAATCATACGTAGTTTTCTTAAATATATTTATAACAAAAATATTTTCATTTCCATATCTGAAGTGTATATTCATCACGCTGATAGGTGAAATTTTCTAATACTGTATTTGCTCTTAACCATGCATCAAAATTATAGTTTGAATCGATCATTTGTATCTGTAAATCTTCAAGTTTAACCAATTTTTCCAATAATAATGGTGTTATAATACAAAATTCATCAATCGTACGAATATTTAAGTAGAGATGAACAATATTTGAAAATACATTGATAAATTGAAGAGTTTTATATACGGTTAATTCATCGGTATTACATAAAACTAATTTCTTTATCATTTTATTTAAATAGTAACATACAGTATCTTCATTTAAGTTTCGTGTCATTTTTAACAGTATGCCAAAGGGAATTTCTAATGAGTTCAAATTTTTGGCTTTTTGTAACAATTGTAAAAACAGATCAGACGATAAACGAATGGTAATTTTAAGATGTTTTAATTTTGATAAACAAATTGTTTTTGCAATGTCATCAAGGGCTAATGACTTTTGAACGTTCTAAAAAACAATACTACAAGATACTTCAAAAGTCACCACCAGAAAAAAAAAGCGCGATAATATAACTTCTAGACCAAATTTTCTTTTTTGTTTGATAGAAAATTTTTTAAAATTTTTGATATATAATGACAAAGTTTGAATCTCTAACGTTGGTCCGTTGTCATCAAATTTTTAGCTGGTTCTACCCTTAAGTCTCTGTCTTCGTCGTAAAGTTGTTGAGTGGATGCATTTTGTAGAGTTTGTAATCAAAGATATGACGTGTTATGTGCCATCCAGGACTTCATTTTCTGCTACAAAAACGCGTTATTTGTATTAGTTTCTAACATGTTTGAACGCATTGGTTTTGCACCATTTTCATGGTATAAATGCGTTAGAAATGAACACGTTTAGATGCGTTTATGTTAATATTGACTAAACGCATTCGTTTCTAACGCGTTCAAATGCGTTAAAAATTGAAATTTTAAAAAAATTGACATCCTGAATGCATTTGACCGCAGTTCCTAGGAGTTCTATAGGAAGAACTTTGGAGTAAAGGATCACAAGATAAGGAGTGAAGAAAACAAGTTTTACTTACTGGATTGATGACGTATCGACCAGGGGTACCTAGAATTAAGAAGCAAACACATAACAAGATAAGTTAGAGATGATCGAAAGGTGAACTCTACCATTAGTGTGTGTTTCGATCATCTGTAACTTCATGAAAAAGGCTTGTTGTTTTTGTTTGCTTCTTAATTCTACCCACTGTGATTTGCCTTGCACCTGCAAAAAAGGTTCTGCTCACGTCAGAAGAGAGACTGTTTATGTGATAGTTCGCTTTTTTGCACACTGCTTTCTTTAGTGGATAAAAGTCCTAGCTGGAAGATTTTGAACTTCATTTAAAGTGCTTCCCATTATCGCTAGAGACAGTTCTTTTTCTATGTAAATGACTTTTGTTACGTAAACAGTTGTTTATTTGGTTATACCGTTTTCTTTCTGGTTCCTCACTCTGCTGGTTCAGAAAGAAGTTGAAAGAGGACTCCAAAAAATAATCATTAAAAAAATCTAAACGTGTCTTTAGCTGAAGAAAGGTTCGTGAGCGCAGTTGCAGATACTTCTTTTGTGAATGTCTCTTTTTTTCTGATTTCTTTTCACAGAGATTTTTTTCTTGTTTCTGTCGCTGAACTCTGCGTGGGTCTTTGAATACGCCTTTCGTTCGTCATTGTTTCAGATATAATTATTCCCGAAGGCTATGAGAGCTCGTTCAGCTATGACCGTAAAGATTCATATAATAATTTTCATTCAAATAAGAGAAGAAAGAAGAAAACGAAATTTGAAAGCATAAATTATAATAAAGAACTGGAAAATTTAAATTATTCCGTTCACTGATCATAATTTGAAATCTACTATCTGATATATTTATTGTTATATTTTATCGTTTCGTAAAGAGTGACTTATATTAGTGAAGTGATGCTCTCTCTACTTATGAATATGTCTTTGAAGACAAATTCTTACGCGTCCAAATGCTGTACAATGCACTAGGGTGAAACCCGATCAAGACTCAGTTTTCTTACATGAATGAATACATTCGCTGCTTATCATGTAAAAATGTGTTAGAATCTGACGCATTTAGCAGCAGTTGAGGTACATTAACACATCGAAACGCGTTAGTCTTTTGGATGCATCAAGTAGCGTTCATTTTCCCAGGTTTCGGACGCGTTCATTTCGGATACAGCCAGATGCGTTTAGTTCTAACGTACTTAAACGCGTTTAGTATTGATTAACGTAAATGATGATGAACCAGCGTTAGAGATTCAAACATTGTCATTAATACAACGATTTTTCTTCTGTACTCTAAAGAGTATGGCATTTTATGCTTTTTATTATATCAAAAATTTTAAACATTTTTCTATCAAACGAAAAAAAACAAGGGCGCATTTGGTCAAGAAATGACGAACTTACAGCCATTTTTTTTTCCGATAGTGACTTTTGAAACACCCTGTATTTTCTAGCTTGCGGTTAAATTCTATACCGTTTGCTTTTTTCGCAGATGTTAAACTTTCTATCAAAACTTAATTACCTTAATTAGTATATCATTGTCTCCTTCTTCATCTTCTAATTCTAATGAATGAACATTTGGGTAATAATTCGGTGATATTATCTGACTACTGTTTACAATATGACTAAGATATTCAACTTTGTCGTAAACATTCGATAGACTATTAGCTGATCTAAAACAACTAAAAGATTTGCGAAGTGTTGAATGAGGATATGGAATAGTGTGAATGTATAAAAATTCATGATTGTTTATTTCATCATGTTCGTATACCATTGGCCACTGCTGATTAAATTTTGATATTATGTTTGTTGCTGTAACAACATCATTATCTACCGCTAATACAAGATCAAATTGAAATGTTCCTAGTGAATGTAATGTAGATAATGTATGCTCCCAACGTTCACCATCAGCAAAATCATAATCTGTAGCTGAACAAGATAAATATTTTAATTGTGGAAGATTTTCAAGTAATGATTCAATATATTCAAAGTAAATACGTCCAGTTTTGATTAAATTTAAATGTGTCAATAATGGTACTTTTGTAGATAAATGTGTACAATCTCTATTTTCATCTTCTATATAAGCTAATTCAACGGTTAAAAATTTTAATTTTGGTACATTGTCGAGAAGAATTAACAATTCATGTAAATAACAATATGTTATCGTTAAATCTTCAATATGAGATAAACTTACATTGTCTAAACGAACAAGTTCATCAAAGAGTAACACACACTTTTTTAATGATGATATTTTATCAGATATGACAATATTAGAAATAGATGATGTGTTATCGGTAGGATAATCTGATTCTTGTATAATCAATGTATTCAAATATCTAAGAGATGACAATGATTCTAAAATTTCTCTCAATAAACTTTTTGAATCAATTAATGTTAAACAGGTCAAATTGGTAAATTGTTCAATGGCAAATTTGTCGAAAAATGTGTCTATAGCTCTCCATGTGCCTATATTGGATAATTTCAGAAAATGTACTTGTGATTGAAAATATCTTTTGCACAAAATATGTTCACAATTGTAATCAAAATCATTTTTAGATATATTTTCTAGATCGACATTTAACTTAACATCATTGATAATGCGATTGAATCTTGAATTTAGCATAAAAAATGCGCGTATTATGTCAATAGCTTTCATATGTTTAAATATTTCTAGAATAATTTCGTCAGGTAAATGTTCTAATGTTGATATTATTGATGTTTGAGGAAGAAATTGTTCTAAAAAGATGGAAAACTTAATAATATACAATATTTATTTAGCTTGGCCAACAAGCTGTTGAATCTTGCTCTCATTTAGTTCTTCATCTCCCACAGGTAAACGAGAACGACTAATAATTTCTTAAATTTAAATTTACTAAACAAATTTCAGTGATGATGATCTTTGAATAAAGCATAAATCGTTCTGACTACAAATTCTCGTGTTTCTATCAGTCTATTAACAGAGACAGTTGTTCAGTAATCGATAGCGAACAGAGCTCCGTACAAACTCAAAATTTTCAGTCTGATTCAAGAACTTTTAAGACCAATTCAGCGTGAGACCATTTGAAAAAATTTTCTTTTCGACTTTATGTACTAGAAAATTATAGTGCAGTTCAGTACATGGAAATATTGTCCAGATGGCATATCTGGTTCCAGATAAGTCTGGTACTAGTTTTAAAGATCGCGTATATCTTTTAGCGTAACCGCTAACGGTCTCTATACAGATAGTTATATGATCTGTGCATACAGCCGTATTTATTCGAAAAAAGAAACTTATGCGCATGCTCATTTATGATTTCTTGTAAACTTCAGGTTTGCAGGCGCTTTTAGCAATACAAAAACAATACATTTCCCACCAATACCGATTTTTTCTCATCGTAAGTAAATTCGAAAAATTTTTTTTCAAGCCTTGACTAGTCTGTACGAAGCTTTGATCGAGAAATCAATAACTGCACAAATATCTCAACGTCAATGCTTTTCTATTCCCAATATTCTCAATAAATATCGAAACTTCCACTGCACTTCTGTCGTATCCAATCTGGTTTATATTCTAAATTAGTTGCGATACTTGTTACGTTTGACAAAATTAATCGAAAGGTTCGATTGTAAGATTATACTACTTTATTATTTGTAAATATCTTCTCTTATCCATACCTGATAAAAATTGACAGTTTTATTCAAAAATATTTACGAAAAAATGAAGTATTTCAATCGATTGGAAATGATAAAAGTCTACATGCTTTTGTTATTGCAAGTTAAATTTATATATTATTCATGCGAACAAAATTCATCGTGCAATAAAGCGATGGAAACAAGAAAAACGATAGTCAGAACTGTCTCGCTCTTGCATACGGACCATCGACAGAAGATCTATTTTGTAGGCTTATATACAATGACTCATGAGAAGTTTCTGTTTACCTGAAAACAGCACACAATAGCAGATATCTTGATCTATTTAATGTAAAATGGATATGTTTTATTGAAAAGAAAATCAATAAAGGCAAAAAACTCATCGAATCCTGGACTATAAAGTACGTCTTTTTTTAATTTCAAAATCATATTTAGATATAGCATACAAAATTCCGTCGATTCATGTACCTCACTTAACCCATTGCCCGCTGACGACATCATTGAATAGAACAAATTGGGCTACTGATATATCAGTGGACAGCGTGCAATGTGTTAATAGATCACGATCAAATAGTAGAAGAGTTCAGCACAAGGCATTACCAAGTACTTAGACAGTTTTTCAATAGTAAAACCGAAATCAAAAGTATGAAATCAAATTTTCTCCTTCGAATTCGATTTTTTTCAAATTTTTTTTTGTTATTAAAAGTAGCGTAGTGTGATCAGCGAAAAATTAAAATAACTATATACGTGCTAGTCAGAAAAAAGAATTGTATGGCTTTGTAAATCTTTTAGAGGCATTCAACCATCATCTTCGATCACACACAGATCGACGAAGTTTCAAATAAAAAAAGATGAGAAGTTTTCAATATCCTGAGAGGTGGGAGTATCTCAGATGAAAATTTTTCGAAAAATGTTTTTTTTGACTTTTAAACGTATTTAAATCTGTAGTTTTGATCAGAAATGAATGCAAATTCTAACCGCGTATTAACTTTGAAACTGTGGATATTATTGATACCACAGACCATCGCAGAGCAACTTTTTTCGCCCTGCCCTATCGTGCCGCCCTGCCTTACCTTGCCGTGCCCTGTCAGAAAATTACTCATCAAAGTTTTTTGACCTGTCCTACCCTGTCTAGCTGGGCAGGACGCCCTGCAATGCAAAAGAAAGTTTTTCCTTAACCTAGAAGACTTTATCTTCGAGAAACTCATCACAAATACTGGATGTGTTTCTCGTGCATAACAGAATCTTTTTTTTTTATTAATTATCAATTTTAGAAAACCTGGCTATCATTTTTATTTTCACATATACGAGAGATCTCAAAATTTTACTTAAAAAGAAGCTTGAAAATCTCAAAAATCAATCTCTCGCAGGGCAAATCAAGGAATTTTTTGTTGCTCTGTTCTGCAACAGGGCAGGGCAAAAAAGATATATCGCTCTGCCCGACAGGACAGGGTAGCGCGACAGGACAACAGGGCAGCCCTGTCCCGCGATGGTCTCTGATTGATACTGTTCTTTTGATCATCTTCTGCAGGTCTATATCAGATTTTATGCGACTATCTCAGAAGGATTTACATGCTCATTAACTAAACTTTTCAGTGAATATGGGAGAACAAAATCTATCAACAATAAACAAGAAGAATCTATTGAGTCAAGTATTTAGATAATACATACGCAAATTGTTTATTTTCTTGTTTTGATTACTTTTATTGGCAATAATAAATTTATCAAAATTTCGTTTGTCAATTTTCATGTCGAATAGCTGTTGAATTTCTTTTGTTTGTGCAAAGTCAAATGGTGTTTGTCCATCAACAGTTTTTAGTGTTGGTGATGCTCCATGATCAAGTAGTATTGAAATAATTTCACTATTACCTAAATATGCAGCACAACCTAATGCAGTAACTAAATCTGGTTTTAATTGATAATTAATTTCTTCAAGAGTCATTTGCTCCAAAAATAATTCAACCAAATATAAATTATTATCGAAACACGCTTGTGCAAATTGTTCAGTTTCTGTCTCTTCCATGAACTATTATTCTTATTATTGCTTTCGTATTATTGAAATGTGAGATGTTGTTAATAAAGTAAGTAAAAAATAGACATAAAAGAAAGAAAAAAGTTTTTTACAGTCTTTCTCTTTGTTAACTGACTTATTATTTACAAAGAAATGGTTGCCTTTTCTGTTCTCAAGTGAATAATTGCATAGAAACTCTTCTTACGGTACACATTCTCTCTACTCACGTTAATATGGTTATTACCCACAAAATAGTGTACATAAATAAAAGAGTGGTTTATTTAGATAATAAATAATTTAGAGTTTCGGAAGTATATTGATAGTAAAGTTGAATGCAGAGCTGTAGAATCTGCCTGTTTGCTTCGACGATCATCGGGGGCAAAATTTGTTGATTTTTGGAAGAAGTTTTTGAAAAATTGGAACATCTTTTTGCAAATATATTACATAAGGAAATTATGTCGAGAAAGTTTTTACAAAAACTTTTTCTGTCAAGGGAAATTTTTCAATCTCACGAGTAGATTCTGCATTCCTGGTTAAATGTTATTCGATAAAAAAATTTTATACTAAAGAGATTCATCAAATTTGAGATTTTTACTTATTATACCAAAGACTCATTTTTTTCCGCATTGTCAAGTAAACATTAGTCCCTCTGTGTACAATGGAAATTGTTCGATGTTGTTTTAATCATGTGCTCATGATCACACTTTGAGATGCGCGTATTTGTAATGGAAATTTTCAATTTGAGGAAATTGAACTATACTTTCTACTATAAGATGCAAAATTCTTCGATTGAAACTACTAGACAAGCATAACTTTTATTTATTATAATAGAACATCTCATATGTTGATTGAAAATTCGATAAAAAACTAAAGCTAACTTTCATAAAAGCAGTCAAGTGCTTCTATTAGACGTCTGGTGAACATGTGGCAAAAATAAACGTCTCAAAATAAGACTGATGAAAATAAATAAGATGGACATAATAGATAGATGAATAGCAAAGCTGGATTTTTGTTAGAGTAGCTTCGTGATAGAAATTAAAACGGAAGTATTGCCATACAAAAACCAAAGGAAGTTGTTATTTAGACATCAATCTCTTTAACTGTAAATTGTATCAACTACTCATTATTAGCAGACCTCGCTATCTCAGTTTTAGTTCAGATTTGTAAGAAGTTACGGGGTAAAAAGGTTGGACTTCTCTAGTATTCTGAACAAAAAGAGATCCGTTTTAAGTTATCAGTCGTCCTATTATGTCCATCATATTTATTTTAATTTGTCGTATTTGATTTCAGAGTATGAAGAATAACAAGATAATTCTATGATGTCCAATTTGCTTTTGCATCGACTGTATACAAATCAGAGCTGATCACCTGCATAATTTTTCACCCCTGCGCGATACCGCGCAGGGGCAAAATAAAATTTATCCGCGTTGCAGTTTGCAGGTTACCAAAAAAATCTTTTGTTCTGCACAGGCAGAGGCTGAG